TTTTTTTACCTTATTGGTTTTAATGTTGTTAAGTCGCCATGAGACCCTTCAGGTGAGCGGCGACTAAAAAAAAGAATCAAATCAATTAAAGCCTTCCAAGTTTGCGGCCAGTTCCACAATTTAACGGCGTGCTGTGTGAAGAAGTAATTCCTTTTGTTTGTCCTGCATCTCTCACCCTTCAGCTTAATCGATGACCAGTATTATGAGAGGCGGCAAAAAGCCTCTCCCTGTCCACTCTCTCTAAAGGTAAAGGTTCCCTTGCTTGAAAGCCAGTCGAATCCAACTCTAGGGTTGCGGTTGTCATCTCCGTTTCAAAGCCGAAGAGCCAGCGCTGTCCGAAGAGGTTTCCGTGGTCATGTGGCCGGCATGACTAAACACCAAGGCGCACGGAACACTGTTACCTTCCCACTGAAGTGGTATCTATTTATCTACTTGCAATTTCTTGCTTTCCAACTGCTAGGTTGGCAGGAGCTGGAACTAGAGACGGGAGCTCACTCCGTCATGCAGCACCCGGGTCTCAAACTGCTGAACTACTGACCTTCCACAGCCTGCAGTTCAGCGTCTTAACCACTTGAGCCACCGCAGCTCTCTCTCTACATCATCTCTAATTTTATAACCCCTGTCATTAGGAGATGAATACTTGTAGACCTCCCTGGAAGGAAGGTAGGGTAAAAATGTGATAGACAGGTAGGGATCTGCTATTTTTTTTAAACAGGCAGTTCAGGTGTCTTCCCTTTTAAATTTGAGGTTGAAACAAATAAGGGTTAGGGTTAACAGCTGTCAAGAGAGATGTCTGTGCATTGATTACAACTGGCCAGGGGGGTTCCACAGTAACACGCACACGCACAAAACAAAAAGAAAGAAAGAAATTTCAAAAAAAGAACATCTCTAGATCCACATGACAAGAACAGAAGAAAAAAAAGGGGAGGTGGAGGAAGAGTCTGCATTTCTGTACATTACAACAGGGGGAAAATCGGAAAGAACGACGAGGGGGGGGGGAACGAAAAAGGAACATCCATTTTCACCTCCCCGCCCTCCCCTTTCCCGGTTTCTGCCGAGCAAAGAAATGGAATTTTATATTACCGCTTTTCGAACGGGAGGCTAAAGAAAAACACAGATTGGAATTAAAAATAAAAAAAAAATGCTCTTGGAGAAGAGTCGAGGCCATGCTTGTGAACAAAGGGATTTTGTTAAGTATTGTTTGTTCCGTATGGTCTTGGGGCAGGATGGCGGGACAGGAAGATGGGGTCGCGTCTCTCATCAAAAGACATTCTACCTAAACCAGGGTTTCCCACGAATCCTGAGAGCTGGGGCATACTTCCACCCCCAGCCCCAAATTAAACCTGATGGCGTATGCTGTGACTGCACCTGAACTTGGTTGAGTTTTACAGTGTATAAGAAGAATTGCCCTCCATCAGAGGAGCCCACCTGGTCTTTTTCTGTATGAGTTCTTCATCTGGGCATGCCTCCTGACTGGATGAAAACATGCCCAAATTGGTGGTTCGGGCAGAGTTGCAGTGGGCAGCCTCCTCCACAGACAGACAGTTCCATTGCATCTTTGTATTGGGAGTCATTGAAGGATCAAAGCACAGCTGATGCAGAGATATTGGTAGAAGTGGAAGGAGGCAAGGCCAGTGCAGAGCCCCACGCAGAGGTACAACAGGCAGCTTTCTCAGAGGCCTGGTAATTCTGGTGCACATCTCCGCACTGGGAATAACGGAATCATAGTAAAAGGAGCCTAACTGGAAAGAGGCAAGGGCCAGGGCAGTAAATCGTTCAGGGACACAACAGCTTCCTCTGCACGTGATTACTTTAGACCCGCAGATTTTCACCACTGAAAATAATTTATGTCTTGCAACGCCCTGGCAATTTGGTTTTGCCACACGGACAGGGAATCATTGGTTTTATTTACTGTACATTGCCTCTTTGACCTGGGGGGGGGGGCATCACAGAAAGCAAAAACAGATAATGAGATAAATGGAAGAAAAAATGGTGTGGATTTGTGATGTGCAAAAGAGAGAGGGAAATTATTCTTAGGACAACAATAAACCTAGGTGTACCTTGGTTGTTTTTTTTTTAAAGAGGGGTGCAGGTGGAAGGAAGGCCCCCCCAACCAGTGTTCCCTCTAAGCTGAGTTTGTGTGAGCTAGCTCAGAGTTTTTTAGCCTCCGCCTCACACACTGTTGTCTTAGCTCAGGAGGGATGGCCCCAGAGCAAACTAATTTATGCAGTAATCACCTGCTCACAACTTTAATGCCAGTAGCTCACAAAGTAGAATTTTTGCTCACAAGACTCCACAGTTTAGAGGGAACGTTGCAAGAATGAAGCTGTGGGGAATTGGTGGGGGATGTGAATTAAATCTCTGCACAGGAATGTTCCGGACCCTGAGGAATTTGGATGCAAATGGAGGACAGGGCGGTGAAGTGAATAGAATAAGTAATACCAAAGGTGTCCAAACAGAATACTCGCCCTTGCTCAGGACTCACTAAGTGAAATGTATCTAGTGCTAGGATTCTCAGTGGGAAATCTGGGCCGTGCCTCTGGGCATGTACACATGCTGATCACCAGGTGCCAGTGATTCTAAGAAAAAAAGGCCAGGAGGAGCTCTGCTCATGCGGGTCAACATGCCTCCTGCAGATGCCAAGTTGGCTTGAGGTCTGGAACAAGGGAGAGCCCAGCAGGCCAGCCGGGGAAGACGGCAACACAAGGATCTGCCCCTGGGGCCAGGGGTTCAGACTCCTGAGAAGAAGGACCAGAAGCCAGCTGCTGCACCTGCCTCTTGCTTCCTCTTGCCTTCCAGTTTGGTGTAGTGGTTAAGTGCGCAGACTCTAATCTGTGAGAACCGGGTTTGATTCCCCACTCCTCCACTTGCACCTGGCTGGATGACCTTGGGCAAGCCACAGTTCTGTCAGAGCTGTTGTTCTCTCAAAGCTCTCTCGGCCCCACCTTCCTCACAGGGGGGAAGGGAAAGGAGTTTGTAAGCTGCTCTGAGACTCCTTTGGGTAGTGAAGGGCGGGGTATAAAACCAATCTCTTCTTCCTCTTCTTGAAAGCTGTTAGCAGTGAAGCCACAGACAGAAGCTCTGCATGCTGGGGTGCTAGGCTCTAAGCACAGGCTCTGCTCAGTTAGATTTCCGCTAGAGTGGTGTAGTGGTTAGAGTGTCGGACTAGGATCTGGAAGACCCGTGTTCAGATCCCCTCTGCTGGGTGACCTTGGGCCAATCACACACTCTCAGCCTCACCTATCTCACAGGGTTGTTGGGAGGATAAAATAGAGGAGGGGAGAATAATGTAAACCGCTTTGGGGAGAAAGGTTGAGTAGAAATAAAGCAAATAAATAAATAAATAGCTCTCAGACCAGGGACGAGATCCAAGTGCGGAAAGAGCCAATGACTGGTCATTGTGCAGTTTAGCTTTGCTAGTTTGGTGTAGTGGTTAAGTGCATGGACTCTAATCTGGGAGAACCGGGTTTGATTCCCCACTCCTCCACTTGCACCTGGCTGGATGACCTTGGGCAAGCCATAGTTCTGATAAGAGCTGTTCTGGGAAAAGAGCAGTTTCTGTCAGAGCTCTCTCAGCCCCACCTACCTCACAGGGTGTCTGTTGTGGAGAGGGGAAGGGAAAGGAGATTGTAAGCCGCTCTGAGACACCTTTGGGTAGCGAAGGGCAGGGTATACATCCAATCGCTTCTTCTTCTATTTAAGTCATCAGTTGACCTCAGACCCCAAGTCAGAGCAATGTGTATGTTAAGAGGGAGCTCTCCGTGGTCCTGAAAACCTGTTTTTTTTGCTATCTGGCTGTCCTAAGTAGGGTTGTATTCCACCACTGGAGTTTAATGGACTTAGAAAGGTGTGACTCTCTGCTTAAGATGCTACTGCTGGTGACCTCATACCTGCTGTCTGTTATCAACCGACAGTTGAGCTCCACTTGAGTCTTGTTCAACATCCTTAGGAGTTCTCCCAAGTGGTGCACTACCACAACACTAAGCACACACCTTGGCTCCCATGGGCAACAGTCAAGGACAGTACCAAGACTGGAGTTGGAAAATAGCTTTTCAGGGAATTGAAGGTGGTATGATACAGGCAAGATTACCTACGGTGATCACACTTTTGGGGGGGTCCCACTACCATTTTGCTTGTGAAACAGGTTTCGTAGGTTTTTAGAGCATGACAAAACCCTGCAAAAAAAATGTTTAACCAGACGCTATAGCTGAATGTACAAAAATATGAAGCTGCCTTATACAGAGTCAGATCATTGGACCAGCTAGCTGTTTGGACTGGCAGCAATTCTCCAGGGTCTCAGGCAGAGAAGGGCCCCTCCCCTCACCCACTACTTGAGATTCTTTAACTAGAGGTACCAGAGACTGAGCCTGGACCCTTCACAAAGCATGTGCTCCACCACTCCCCCTTCCCCCGATGCTTCATTTCTTTACAATAAAGTAGGGAGGCCCCTGAACCAAATCTGACCACCTACAAGTGCTTTCTGCCTCTCCCTGTTTGCCAACCACAAATCATTAAAAGGGGTGACATCTGTCAGAACTTGGCAGTAAGGCATCTGGGGAACAGGATGTACGGCCTTGGCCCCGCCTACTCCTCAACCCCTACTCAGAGGTCCATCTGCAAAAACTAGTTGCCATCTACGAATAAAAGAATCAATCTTGCCCATCAAAATGTGGAACAGGTCTTAAGTGAAGCCTCTCAGAAGTGCTTCCTTCTCCCATGGATGCTATTTTCCACCTCTGCTTGTAGCACGTCTCTATGGAAATGCCCAGATGTAGCCAGCTGTTGCCTGTCAGTCTATGATAGGCAGAGAGAGGAAGGGATGGAGGAAGACCATCGCCTCCCCATCCATCCTTTTGTGTAGTAACAGAACCAGTGTCATCTGTCACACCTGGAGCAAAATGTCTATTAAGCTGGTCAGTGGAATGTGAGAACGGGGCAGGCTGTTCTGGGAAGGAAGATCAGAGTAGGCTGAAACCAGAATGAAATAGAAGCATTCGTACCTCCTGCTGTTTCTCCGATAGGGCACCGTGGCTATGGCGGCCATTCTGGGTGCTGCCCTTGTGTCCGTTTTGGTGAGGTGTGGCTGATCGGCTGTGGCCACTGCAAGAAGAGGAGGGACTCCGGCTGGACCGATGGCTGTTGGCCTTCTGGCCATCCTCTCTGTACTTGGGGCTCAGTCTGGAAAGGGAAGAGGCAGAGAGAAGTCAGGCCCACCCTTACCCTAATGCGTGTAGTCTAAAGGTCCGTTAAGTCGCAGCTGACTCAGGGCAACCCCAGAAAGGGACTTCAAGGGAAGTGAGAAGCAGAGGTGGTCTGCCATTCCCTTCCTCTGCAGGGCCTTCCCTGGTGGTGGCCCCATCCAAGTAAGAACATAAGAACATAAGAACATAAGAGACGCCAATGTTGGATCAGGCCAAAGGCCCATCCAGTCCAACACTCTGTGTCACACAGTGGCCAGAAATACCAGGTGCCCTCAGGAGGTCCAGCAGTGGGGCCAGGACATTAGAAGCCCTCCCACTGTTGACCCCCCCAAGCACCAAGAAGACAGAGCATCACTTGCCCCAGAGCCCCTATCTATACCTTGTGGCTAATATCCACTGATGGACCTCTGCTCCATATGCTTATCTAACTCCCTTTTGAAGCCGTCCATGCTTGTAGCCGCCACCACTTCCTGTGGCAGTGAATTCCATGTGTTAATCACTCTTTGGGTGAAGAAGTACTTCCTTTTATCCGTTCTAACCCGACCGCTCTGCAGTTTCATGGAGTGCCCACGAGTTCTTGTATTGTGAGAAAGGGAGAAAAGTACCTCTTTCTCTACCTGCTCTTTCCCATGCATAATCTTATAAACCTCGATCATGTCACCCCTCAGTCGTCTTTTCTCCAAGCTAAAGAGCCCTAAGCGCTTTAACCTTTCCTCATAGGGAAAGTGTTCCAACCCTTTTATCATTCGAGTTGCCCTTTTCTGCACTTTTTCCAAAGCTATAATATCCTTTTTAAGGTGTGGTGACCAGAACTGCACACAGTATTCCAAATGAGGTCTCACCATTGATTTATATAGGGGCATTATGATATTAGCTGATCTGTTTTCAATACCCTTCCTAATAATCCCCAGCATAGCATTGGCCTTCTTTATTGCAGTCACACACTGTCTCGACATTTTCAGTGAGTTATCTACTACAACTCAAAGATCTCTCTCTTGATCAGTCTCTGCCAGTTCAGACCCCATCAATGTGAATTTAGAGTTAGGAGTTTTGGCTCCAATGTGCATCACCTTGCACTTGGCCACATTGAACCCCATTTGCCATGTTGACGCCCACTGGCCCATCCTTGACAGATCCCTTTGGAGTACTGACCCTGCTTAGCTTTTGAGATCTGATGAGATTGGACTATACTGTGGCACCTTCCCTCCCCCTTACCCTGGTATCCCTGCCCATTTCCCCCCTAAACCTGACGCCAAAGCAGATGTGACCTACCGACTAGTTGATTTGCAGTTGCTGTAACCTGAGGAGAGGGAGGCACTCCGGGAACTGCAGCTGCTGTGCCTGTGGGACCGCTGGGTAGATGATTCACTGTGTGACCTAGAAGAGAACACCCCCGGGGGTTTGTGGGGGGGAGGATGAAATAGCTGACCAGAAACAAATGCCTAGACCACCTGCAATGTTCCCTCTAAGCTGTGGAGTCTTGTGAGCACAAATTCTACTTTGTGAGCTCCTGGCATTAAAGTTGTGAGTGAGTCATTTGGTTGCTGCACAGATTAGTTTGCTTTGAGGCCCTCCTTCCTGAGCTAAGGCAAAAATCTGTGAGCTGGAGGCTAAAAACTGTGAGCTAGCTCACACCAACTCAGCTTAGAGGGAACACTGACCACCTGGCACATCTTGGTTCATTGCATGAAAACTCTAAAGGACTGCACCATAATAACAAGTATTCATCCACCATTTAACAGCCACATGGAGGTGGTGATTAAATGGTGGGACTCGGATCTGGGAGACCCCCTTTCACACATGGCTGAATGTTGCCGTTTCAGTCCACTTCTGATGCATTTTTACTGTGCAAAACAGGAAACTCACTTGCGAACGATCGCTGAAAGTAGGTCGAAAGGGCATTATTCCGCGTCTGTGAAAGCGCCACCAGTTTCGAGTCCCTGCTCGGCCGTGAGATGTATTGGGTGGCCTTGGGCCAGTTGCTCTCTCTCAGTTTAAACAAGGTGGTTGTTGAGAGGATAAAATGGATGGGGGGGATTGAGGAATGGTACATACCACCCTGAGCTCCTTGGAGGAAAGGTGGGATTAAAATGTAAGTAAAGGTAAAGGTCCCCTTGCTCAAAAGCCAGTCAAATCCGACTCTAGGGTTGCGGTGCTCATCTCCGTTTCAAAGCCAAAGAGCCAGCGCTGTCCGAAGATATTTCCGTGGTCATGTGGCCGGCATGACTAAATACCAAGGTGCACGGAACGCTGTTACCTTCCCACCGAAGTGGTACCGATTTATCTACTTGCAATTTCTTGCTTTCGAACTGCTAGGTTGGCAGGATGTACCGAATGATTAAATAAAATTAAGAACAAAGGAGTTATGCTTGTAGAGCTACTGGGGCAACTGCCCACAGCTACTGGCAGTGGCTTTGCCACTTAACAGTACGTGGGGTACAGACGATTTTAGCCCCAAAGCCATCACTTATCAACTGGGTGGAAGGGCCACCTAGGAATAACTCTGGCACCCAGGTGATCAGCGGGGTGGTTGGGAGGCTGGAAGTGCAAGTCTCCAAGAGGTTTCCTGTCAAAGTACTATCTCAATTCAGCCGGGGGGGGGGGTTTCATCTCTTGACGTCCACTGTGGAGGCTGCCGGTGGCCAAGGCAATGGAAATCTTGTAGGCCTGGGAAGTCTTGAGTGGCTGGTGGGTTGGTGGGAGGGATCTGTTCCAGGGCCCTGTGCCCACCTAGGAACATCCCTGTGCAGACATATGTAGGTTAAATTAATTAATGTACCAAAACTGACAGATCTAATACAGTTTAGGCAAGTGAAGCCTCTCAGAAGTGCTTCCTTTCCCCCCTGGATGTTATTTACCACCTCTGCCCGCAGCATGTCTCTATGGGAATATCCAGATGTAGCCAGATGTGGCCTGCTAGTCTATGATCAGGCAGATAGAAGTTAAAGATATTAAGCAAGAGTCCTATTTTTCCCTTGTTTTTCTTTTCTTCTATTTTTCTGTATTTTCCCCTCCCTTTTATAATTCACATATGAAAATCTCAATTAAAAGTTTATAAAAATATTAAGCAGGAGTCCTCTGAAGACACAACCCTGTGAGGATAGATAGGCAACATGTTTTTTTCCTATTTTTATTTCACACTTCTTCCAGGGAGCTGTGGGTATCATTCGTCCATCCATTCCATAACAACTCCCTCCCCCCATCCTATACACACAATAACCTTGTGGGGAGGTTAGGTTAAGAGAGAACGTCAAGCCCAAGGTTAGCCAGTGAGCATCTTGGCTGCATGGAGATCTGAACCCAGGTCTCTCTCTGAATAAAGTCAAGCACTTAAGCTGCTACCCCACAGATTGGTTCAACTCACAGTGTAACTTAACAAAGGCTAGTATATTGCTACTAAAGTTCCAAGTTCTTGCTGCTCAGATAGACTGCTTCTGCTCCAGAGTGCTAGAACAAATAACTTGGTATCCAACCAGCAACAGCTGGCCAGTCAGGGCCCTACAGTTCCCTGCCACCCTTATCAGCTTTACCCAGTGTGGCTATTTCCGGACATGGCAATAGGTTCCAGGCAAAGGAATAACAAAATGCATAAGTGCAACTCCGCCCTGCCTGCTGCCCTCACTCAGCCTCACTCAGCTGGTTTTCCATCTGCCATCTTGAAAATATGCTTAATGACACCATGCAAAGAAAACGTTATAGAATTCCACACTGTTTAATTTATTACACTCCCTCTGATGGCTAGAATTTGCTCATTGCTGGTGTCCACATAGCTACACACTATTTATTTAAAAATATTTATTTTTAAAAAATGTCTACCCTGCCTTTTTGCCCTCATCAGGGCCAGCAAGGTGAGTAACAAATTAAAAACATAATGCATAATAAAGCATATCTTAAGAACCACTAGAAGCAAACAAAAATCATGTAAACAATTAAAACCAAACTGAAAGATGCATACAAAAAAACATAAAAACAACAATCAAAACAACACTGAGGGAAAGCCAGACAAAATACCAGTTACTCTTCCATTCCACATGACTGAGCCATGAGCTTGTCTCAGGGCTACAGGATGGCCTGTTGAAGCTCACCTTTTGCGGTTTTTGTTTTTCTCTTTCCGTTTGCTCTTGGGACTTCTGGACCTATGAGACAGCAGAAAACTGAACACACAGAAAAAGAGCAAGAAATAGCACACAGCCACAGTGGAAATCCCCACCAGACTCATAGCCTTCTACCACTGGTGCATCCACCCTCCCTAGGGGTGCCAGGTCCCAGGGTCCCAGGGTTCCTCTGCACTAGGAGAACTAAGATCCTTGGAAGAGGGCCAAGATTTTGGTTTTTTGCTGTCGAGTCACATTCAACTTATGGCAGTCCAGAGGGGGTTTTAAAGCAAGAGACATTCAGTGGTGGTTCGCCTCTGCCTGCCTCTGCGTAGCAACCCTGGACTTCCTTGGTGGTCTCTCATCCCAGTACTAACCTGTGCCGACCCTGCTTAGCTTCCAAGATCTGACGAGATCCGGCTAGCCTGGGCTATCCAAGGCCAGGGCAGCCAAGAATTAGACATGAGCACACTTCCCCCTACTTGATTTGGAAACAGCCCAGCAATTTGCAAGTGATACTGGCAAACTTTCAGTGGTGTGGGGAATCTCTCCCCCCCCCTCACAGGAAATCTTCTGTTGCTCGTAATACCAGGCCCTCCTTGTGAGTCTAATCTGACTCAGCACCTGAAGGGGCCATGGCTCAGTGGTAAAGCATCTGCTTGGCGTGGAGAAAGACCCAGGTTCAATCCCTGGCACCTCTGCTTAAAAGGGCCAGGCAGGAGGTGGCGTGAAAGACCTCTGCCTGAGATCCTGGAGAGCCACTGCCAATCTGAGGGCACAATACTGAACCTGAAGGACAGATGGTCTGATTCAAGGTAAAGTAGCTTCATGTATTCATGAGAAGAGCCGGTGGGTGGGGGAGTGGGAGGCAAGGAAAGAGAGAGCTTCTCAGCCCACTGAGCCAATTTGGCGTAGTGGTTAAATGCGCGGACTCCAATCTGAGAGAACCGGGTTTGATTCCCCACTCCTCCACTTGCACCTGCTGGATGACCTTGGGCAAGCCATAGTTCTGTCAGAGCTGTTCTTGAAAAACAGAGCCGTTTCTGTCAGAGCTCTCTCAGCCCCATCTACCTCACAGGGTGTCTGTTGTGGGGAGGGGATGGGAAAGGAGTTTATAAGCCGCTCTGAGACACCTTCGGGTAGTGAAGGGCGGGGTATAAATCCAATCTCTTCTTCTTCTTCTAGCCCACAGGGTGTCTGTTGTGAGGAGGGGAAGGGAAAGGAGTTTGTAAGCCGCTCTGAGACTCCTTTGGGTAGTGAAGGGTGGGGTATAAATCCAATCTCTTCTTCTTCTTTTACCTCACAGGGTGTCTGTTGTGGGGGAGGGGAAGGGAAAGGAGTTTGTAAGCTGCTCTGAGATGCCTTTGGGTAGTGAAGGGCGGGGTATAAATCCAATCTCTTCTTCTTCTTCTTGTCCACCCTACTTGCTCTCATATTGAGTGTAATGCTAGACTGTTTCCCTTCTATAATGCTCCCCTTGGCATTGAAGGCAAGCCTTACACACTGTGAACGTTTATATTCTGCCTCTTGGTAATCTGAGAGTGGCAGGCATCTCTGCTCAGCAACATCAACCCGGGAAGCGCCATGTCAATGCAGGCTCCATGAAGAGGGTGTGTGTACAGTGTGATTTTTCTTTATAGGTGCATTGAGTGATTCTCACCTTACATCCAACACATGTACAGCTTTATGCGTGATTGAAAGCAGGTGATTAGAGTCCGCGCATTTAACCACTACACCAAATTGGCTCAGCGGGCTGAGAAGCTCTCTCTTTCCTTGCCTCCCACTCCCCCACCCACTGGCTCTTCTCATGAATACATGATCTTCGCACTGTGATCCTTCATGCGCACCATCCATAAAAGAGGGGCATGGTCAGTTAGCAGAGTGAAATTGGTTGTTTGTGAGGAAATACTGTGAGGTAATATTTGGCCTAGGTGGTCCATGGCCCCCAAAATATCCGGCTGTCCTCAAGCAGAGCCAGGACTTTTTCAGCCCTGGCTCTGACCCGGTGGAACTTTCTGCCTAGAGGCATCCATGCCCCGCAGGACTTAGTAAAGTCCCACAGGGCTTGTAAAGGAAGATGTCCCATCAGGCTTATGGTTGAGGACAGCAACGGCCCCCGCTTTTCCTTCCCTCCCCCCTTTGGAGTTGTGATAAATTTTGGCTTTAAGGTGCCATCTAGAATGGGCAGGGGTCATTTCCTGCAGGAGCACACAGGAACGGAGCTACGGCAGTAAAGAGCCCAGGGGGTGGACACATGCAACAGACCCCACCCCCTGCTCCCAGCAGCCCTCAGTCAGAGCGAGAAGCAGCCAGGTAAGTTGCAGAGCCCCCCTGGCCCCTTGGCCCAAAACAGTCCAGTGGCACCTTTAAGACCAAGTTTTATTCAGGTACAAGCTCTCCCTCCTCTGTGAGGACAGATCTGCACGTCCCCCCCCCCAATAGCTAGCAATCCAAAACAGTCCAGTGGAGCCTGAGCGGTGGGTGTTGCCGTCTGACACACTTCTGGTGACATCAGGGTGTGTGGCATATGCAAATAAGTTATGCTAATGAGTTATGCTAATGAGCTCCTGCACCTCTTTTTCTACGAAATGACCCCTGAGAATGGGTAATGTGTTTGTACTCTTTTGAACTTGTTTTTAAACATGACTGGTATTTTTAGACATCATACACTGCCATGAGCCCCAGATTTGGAGGAGGGCAGTTTAAAAATCGAAACAGAAAGAAAGAAAGAAAGAAAGAAAGAAAGAAAGAAAGAAAGAAAGAAAGAAAGAAAGAAAGAAAGAAAGAAAGAAAGAAAGAAAGAAAGATTGCAGTGCCCCTGTTAATGCACACCCAACCAGCATGTGAGTTGGCCATCAGAAGTCAGTGCATAATGCAATCACGTTTGGATGAAGGGAGATAATAGCGGACTGTTTCTGGGTTTTGTGGGTGGGGGGTGTTATTGGCAGAAGGAAGGAGCAGAGTGGAAAGGAATCCACACTGTTAGGTCTCACCTGTGCCTCCTCTTCTTGCGGGATCCAGATGCAGATCTGAAGGGCAGCCGATGAGAGGAAAGCAAAAAGGGAGGAAGGAAAGGGGGGGCCATTGGTTCTGATGGTCAACAAGACGTTAATTTGAGCATCTCTCTCTCTCCCTGCAAATGTCAGTTCCAAGCATCATCCCAGGTCATTCCAGGACATGAGTGTGAGGAAGAAGGACTGCAGCACCCCAGGCTGGGACTATGCAAATTAAAAGGCGGGGCTATGCAGATAAGGGCAGGCTTGATTCTCAATGGCTGGGGTCACCACTACAGAAATGACCCCACCATCTACAACAGCACCAAGCACACTTCTTGGCTTTCTCCCATAAAAAGGGGTTTCTGTGCCTTCGTTCATTATTCTTTGGCCTGCTGCTTTATTCCTTGTTTAAAAACTTTTCCTGCTCAGTTCCTAATGGCTCGAGATAGTTTTTAACCAGCTGCTGTTCATTATAGGAAACTGTATTCTCTGCCCCTTTTTAACACTTTCACTTTTTATGCTGTTACTTTCTGAATTTATTTTTACTGGTCTACGATTTAAAGCGATTGTGTCAAGAGACAAGACAACCAGCATTAATTCTCTTAGATCTATGGCAAGACACATCAGTCCCTGAAATTCATTAAAAACTTGATATCAGCCTTATTAGTTGCCAAGGTCTGGGAACTATATGTGATGGACAAAATTGCAGATAGTACCGGCATGTTTAGAAACACAGGAAGCCATGTTAACATAATAGATAAATGGCTCCCATTGCTAGAGGCATAATTTCTACCTAATTCGACATCGAGATCCCAAATTCCACAACGTTTTTACGAAATAGTTAATTATATGTAACAATATATATAGTTTTAAGAACAGTCTGGAAGATCTCTATGGTATAACACCAATCCATACTACTGTTATCGTATGTAACCTTTTGAATTTTGAGCTGCCAAGCCTTGTAATTTTTCTCACAAGAGTTGTTACGTGTTCTTCATGACTTATATTGATTTTGTTGCTGCGTTATAGGTTGAAGTGGCTGTTGTTATATGAAAATTTAATGAAAAATATTTTTAGAAGAGTTGACAAATTGAGAAGGCAGGTTATAAATATCCTTATCAAATTTCAACACCTCCCAAAAAACACACACATTCCTCTAGAGATATATGAACTTGCTCCTTCCCATTGACGCTGGAACTATTGGAAGGTTCCTGAGGTATCAGTTCCACACGAGAAATACAACCAAGTTCAACATCCAGGAAGAAAATTGGATGGGGGTGATTTTGGAACCGACTGCCTAGCTCGTGGGGAAAAGGGATGGAATCTGACTGTCCAACAGAAGTGAGACATGGAGAACAGTATTGGGGAGAAAAATTGATACAGTAGTGAATGTGTGTGTGTGGGTGGGTGGGGGGTTGATGTTAAAGCTGTCACAGCCACCTACCTGTCCCTCCTATGCTTTTTCCCTGTCTTTTTCTTCTTCTCCTTCCGGATTGGAGAAGAGCTATCGCCACTGGGAAGTAAACAGAAGGAACCATTTAGTGAAGCTGAAAGGGGAGCCCAGAACGGGACTGAAAGGCATTAACAGACTTGAAGACCCTGGATGACCCTGGATGAATCCAAGGCTGGGCATTTTTGAACCTGGAGTCTGGATCCTAAACTTCTTTTCCACTCACAGAAGAAGGAAAGGACAACTTTCACCAAACTACCTCTGTGCATTACAAGCTCTCACTGACCCACAGGGACATAATTTGCACAGACAACTGCAGCAGGACAGGGAATCAGGAAAGTCAGTATTTCTGCGGTGTGTTCTCTGTGTTGATTTCTTAGCCCTTGTTCCTGTATGTGTGGGGTTCGGCCACACCACCTCCCTTCGATCTTGGCTGGGCGCTTGCTGGTTCTGGGAAAGGCGGAAAGGAAGCACATGAAGTCAAGTGCTTCCTTGTTCTTAAAAAGAGCTACAGTGCGCAGGACTGAAACATTAGATTTATTTATTGATGAAGGAACTGAGATGGGGTTTAGCTCAGTGGTTGAGTATCTGCCCTTGTAGTTCTTGTGAAAAACCTCTACCTCAGACTCCGGGGAGTTGCTGCCAGTCTGAGCAGACAATACAGATCTCGATGGACCGAATGTCTGATTCAGTAGAAAGCAGTTTCATGTGTTCGCTTACTGAATTACAGTTCTTGAATCTGTTTGAGGTGGTTTATTATGCAAGTCATCTCGAATTTTATACAACAAATTCTCCTCCAAAGTACCTCATAATCACACACATACTTCTCGATAGATTTTCCCCTTGTTGTTGTTCAGTCGCACAGCCGAGTCCGACTCTTCGTGACCCCATGGACCAGACCCCGCCAGGCCCTCCTGTCTTCCGCCGTCCTCTGAAGTTTGCTCAATTTCATGTTCGTTGCATCTATGACACTGTCTAACCATCTCGTCCTTTGCCGTCCCCGTCTTCTTTGACCTTCAATCTTGCCCAGCATCAGGGTCTTCTCCAGTGAGTGCTCCCTTCTCATTGGGTGGCCAAAGTATTTGAGCTTCAGTTTCATTATCTGGCCTTCCAGGGAACAGTCAGGGTTGATTTCTTTTAGGATTGACTGATTTGATCTTCTTGCAGTCCAAGGGAGTCTCAAGAGTCTTCTCCAGCACCATAGTTCAAAAGAATCTATTCTTCGGTGCTCGGCCTTCCTTATAGTCCAACTCTCGCAGCCATACCTGACTACTGGGAATATCATTGCTTTGACCATGCGGACTTTTGTTGGCAGGGTGATGTCTCTACTTTTTATCATGCTGTTTAGGTTCGCCATCGCTTTCCTCCCAAGGAGCAGGCATCTTTTAATTTCATGGCTGCTGTCACAGTCTGCGGTGATCTGGGATCCCAGGAACGTGAAGTCTGTCACTACTTCCACGACTTCCCCTTCTATTTGCCAAGGAGTGATGGCCGGATGCCATGATCTTAGTTTTTTTGATGTTGATTTTCCCCTATAATCCCATAATTTGTTTAATTTTATCAAGAACTTTCTCCTCGGAGCTTCTGAATTTTAAGACTAAGACGTTATAATTCTCTTCAATACCAAAATTGATAATCAAGTGCCTATCAGAAGGGCAACAAAGTGGAACCACCTCAGAAGGTGTAGAGCTTTTTGAAATTTTGGGGAACTCTTGAGCCACGCAGAAAATATTACACCATAAATTAAAGAGAAGGGAAACATTCCCAATGACTTGACGAGGCCTGAGGATGCTCATTGGTCTGGGATGTGTTCTCTGCTAGGCTGTGGGCCTTTGGTAGATGTCTAACCATGTTAACCCTTGATGCCGACCTCGACTACAAACAGTCCTGAATGATTAGTTGCTGTAGATTTCCCGGGTTGTGTGGCTGTGGTCTTGGCATTGTAGGACCTGACGTTTCACCAGCAGCTGTGACTGGCATCCTCAGAGGTATAACACAGAAAGATGGAGTACTCTCTGTGTCAAGGTGAGAAGAAAAATGGTAGGCAGGTAATTTACATCTATTCAGGAAGGTGGAGTAGGGCTGATTCATTATCTTGTAGGAGTTCCCCAGGCTGTGACATGCTAATGGAGGAGCTTTCCTGAGGAGGTTCTTTTGCATACGGATTGGCTGTTGAAGTTCTAATCTTATCTGTAGTGCTGTTGTAAGATGTAGAGCATTTTGTGTTTTTCAGGACAAGAAACTATGCCCTATTTATTTTTTCTTCTCACCTTGACACAGAGAGTACTCCATCTTTCTGTGTTATACCTCTGAGGATGCCAGTCACAGCTGCCGGCAAAACGTCAGGTCCTACAATGCCAAGACCACGGCCTTATAGCCTGGAAAATCTACAACTAATGAACTCTGGCCGTGAAAGCCTTCGACAACATATAGTCCTGAATGAGTTTCTCACCTCTTGGTGACATGGAAAAAAGGTATCATGCAAATGTTGCTCAACACACCATCCCATTAGCTTCTTCCTCCTGCTTCTAGTGCCTCCTGCTGACAGCTCTTCTGGAACGAAAACTGCAACTCACCTGCGTTCCGATCCAGGCTTCCTCTTTTTGCTGAGGTTGCATGGCAGGAAACAGAAATATGCAGAGGTTAAGGAGAAAGAGAGAGAGAGAGAGAGAGAGAGAGTTTGAGGAAAGGGTCAGGCTTTCAAAATCAACTTCGCACAGAAGACTGGTCAGGTTTTGTACTATGCAAGCTATGGATTGGGGCCACTTGCATTTTCTGCCCAAGCCCCGAGGAAGGATAAGTAGAAACTGACATTGTAAGAATGACAGTCATCTGAGCAAGCTTCTAGCCCCTACAGATGTCAAAATAGGCTTCACAGACTGTGGCCATTCTCTGATGAAATCTCCACATGAGATGAAAGATGTAACTTGATTTCTAGGGCAGAAAACAAACCCAGTTTAGACCCACGTCTATTTCCTTCCTTTCCTATTGGTGTCTTCCTTATCCCAGTTTATCTTCCTAGCAGCTCCAAGAAGGATCGGAAATAGCCCAAGGCCACCTGACAAGTTTCATGGCTGATCAGCATTCGAACCCAGGACTCCCCAACACCCATTCTAGCCAGTATAAAACACCACTCCTCTCTCTTGCACATTTACTCTCTTATGGATGCCAGGCATATGGGGAGGACCCCCTCATGATTAAGCAACAACCAAACAGAATGGCACTCAGCATATGCTCAGAAGCACTCATTTCCCTCCCCCCTCTTCTTGGGGTTCATGGCAAGCTTCAGGAGTGAGCCCTAGCTAACCAGCCCCCCCAACTTAAAATCTAGGCATCTGTGGTCAGCATCAGTGTGCATACATATGTATCAGTGGTGTTTATCCAAAGCAATGCGTGTCTTGTTTATTTTAAAATGCCGCATTGCGTTCCTGCATCCACAGCTGTGTTCCCACTGTGCATGCCGTGGGCATATTTATTCTGGATTCCTTCTTTCTCGATCCAGGTGTCCCCGTCTCTCCCCACTGAGCTTCTCTGCATGTGTGGGGGCATCTCCGCATTCAGCAGCCAGCTCAAAAACTCCGTCCTACAGTCAGCACCCAAGGGCACCGAAATGCCAAGGCAGGGTGCCTACTGCCATCTGGTGGCATTTTAGAGGTATAACAAGACAGGTGGCACCACCATCGGGGGATGACCGCTGCTGCTTCACACTGTATTTCTGTGCTGCTCCACACTGTTCCCTTGACAGCCATGGAAGGGAACTTTAGTTTCTCGCTCTGCAACTGAACCCCGATGAGAGGCTGGATGCCTCTGACTGCACTGGTCCCTAACTAAGTATAACAACTAGTCCATTCCAATCCCTGACACGCTGGGTTGCCAACTCTTGAGTTGGGTAATTCCTGGAGATTTGGGGATGGAGCCCGGTCAGGGAGCTCAGCGGAGATGTGGTGCCATACAGTGCACCCTCCAAAGCAGCCATTTTCTTTTGGGGAAGTGATCTGTGCTGGAGATAGGTTTTAATTTTGGGAGAACTCTAAACCTCACCTGGCGGATGGCAACCCTGCTTACAACCCTGAGAGCCAGTTCGGTGTAGTGGTTAAGTGCGCGGACTCTAATCTGGGAGAACCGGGTTTGATTCCCCACTCCTCCACTTGCACCTGCTGGTGTGACCTTGGGTCAGTCACAAGCTCTGGCACAGCTGTCCTTGAAAAAGAGCAGTTTGTGTCAGAGCTCTCTCAGCCCCGCCCATCTCACAGGGTGTCTGCTGTGGGGAGGGGAAGGGAAAGGAGTTTGTAAGCCACTCTGAGACACCTTTGGGTAGTGAAGGGCGGGGGATAAATCCAATCTCTTCTCTTCTCTCTTCTTACACGTGGACTCTTCCAGAATGATTTGCTATAAAACGTTATACGTGACAAAAGAGCTCAATAGTTGGGAAAGGCCCTTCTCTGCCCGAGAGCCCTACCGCCCTTGTGATTGTCGTTAGAAACACTGATGTGAAATTTTCATTTCATACAGTGCATCTGAAAAAGTGAAGGCCGACTCATGAAAGCTTATGCTGGAATAAACCGGGTCAGCCTGAAAGGTTACCCTTGATTTCCTCTGCACTCGTCAACAGAAGATTGACAAAGAAGTCACCAAGAGGATTCTCACTTGCCTCACAAGTCCACCTGACTTCACAATCGGTGTGACAGGTGCCAAACACCTCACACTTCAAAAACCAGGTCAACTGTCAGTCTTCCTCAGGGATACAACTACACGTTGCCTCGTTTGACATATGAAAAGGGAACCCCAGATTTTTGAGGGAATGCATACGTACATACCAAAGGTGTACATCAGGGCCATAACTAGCTCATTTTGTGCCTGGGGCAAAAATATAAAATGGCACCCCCTATTTTGGTAAAAAAGTAAACACATCAATAACAAGAGTAATTAACAACACAACATTTATTTGAGTCATGATGTACTTTATCTGCACCCCTCAGCTTTGTGCAGCCGACACAAGCACCCCACTGGCCTCACCCTTGTTACAGCTCTGCTGTACACACGTGGAAGGGGAGGGTAGTTTGTACCTTTCATTCCCCCCCAATCATAGCCTTTTTTTAAAAAAAAAAACCCTGTAGAATGTGACTGATTTCCCACAAGCCGCTGCTCCACCCTCACTCTTCCCTTTCTCCCAGTTTTAAGCATCAATTTCCCACTACTTGCTGCTCGGCTGCATTTTGACCCGCATCTTCGCCTGATTTTCCCCGCATCTTCTCAATCCTGTTTTTTAAGGATCAAAAAGACACGGGGGAAATCGGGTGAAGCTGTGGGTCAAAATGTGGCCGCGCAGCAAGTAGTGGTAAATTGACAAATACAATTAGGGGAAGGGAAGAGCGAGGGTGGTGCAGCTGCTTGTGGGAAATCGGTCTGTGGCTTGAGACACTGTGATGTTCCACCTTTGGCGCGCGGATGTGTGTGGGTCTCATTATTTCTCTGTTATAATTATAGGCATGTTTGTCAGCATAACCCTGAGGCCTTTTCTGTTTGACTGGGAAGACCCCACACTGTCCTCTAATCTGTACCATGTTAGACTGTGATTATTAGAGGTCTAACCCCCATGCCACTCTGCCCTTTTCAACAGGCAAGCTTATATAATACAGAGAGGCCAAAGATTTGATCATGAACTGGCCTGTCAGGATTTGATAATTCACTGGACGTTAGCCATCACTGAGCTAAATAATTGACACGGATGATACCTGCCCCTGGCTCTTGGAGAGACCATCTTGCCCTCTCTCCTGCCCTGGTATTTAACTTGTTATAACCTTGTCCGCTTGAATATTTCCAAGGAAGAGTCCAGGGGTCAACAAAAAAAGGATTTTATTATTTCCCTATGGGGGAAAATAAAGGTTTTGGCATTCAGAAATAAGTGGTACATAAATATATCTGTTGGGGGGGATGTAACTTGGAGAAACAACATCGTTAATGGGTAAGTTTGTTAAGAGAGATTAAGAGGCAGCCAGAAATTGTCACTCTATGAGGGTAAAACAGCCAAATTTCCCTCAGGTTTCCCAACTTTGTTCAGGGTTTCTGGACCTTTTACCACGCTGACCTCAATCTGCCTGTTAGATTCCCTCTGCTCAGAAATACTGCATTCAAAAGCTTATAAATTGGTGTGTGCCCCTACAGGACACCACAATGGATCAGACCCGCTGTTTCCTGAAGACAGACTGCAGGACAGACCTACTTCTATCCTGCCTGTCGGAATGTCTAGACCAGGGGTCCCCAACCTTTTTGAGCCTGAGGCAACCGTTGGAAGTCTGACGCAGCACGATGGGCACAGCCACAAAATGGCTGCCAAAGGAGGCAGAGCCAGTGACAAAATGGCTGCTGAAGGTTACCCCCAATCACACAGTGAAGATTAGGCTTGCCAAATCCCCCCAGGGGGCGAGAGGCCCGTTACCGGCCGCCGGCGGATCGGGCCCCGGGGGGAACCCCACCCCCAAAGCACACGACATGCCCGGCATCAGCACGTCACCCGGAAGTGACGCAATCACGTCGGGCACGATGGGGGCGGGGCCACAACAATCCGAGGGAAAACTCTATGGTTTTCCCTCGGATGATTGTGGCCCCACCCCCAACATGCCCGACTTGACTGCGTCACTTCCGGGTGATGTAATTGCGGCGCATGCATGCTTTGCGCACGCACATGGACTCCCGGACCAGTGCTGGACTCCCCCGCTCTTCATAAGGTAAGGACTTGGCAACCCTAGTGAAGATCTTTGTGCAGTAGTGGCAGCTGCGGCTAAAGCAACTTAAAAAAAAAAATCTGCACGGCTAAACAAATCTCCAGTACCCAGTCAGAAGACTTGCTGGGCAAAAGCCCCACCTAGGCCCTCCCATGGTGGCATGGTTGCCAACCTCAGGGCGGTGGCTGGAGATCTCCCATGATTACAGCTGATCTCTAGGCAAAAGAGATCCATTCACCTGAAGAAAATGGCTACTTTGGAAGGTGGACTCTATGGCATTATACCTCATCAAACTCCTTCCCCTCCCCTCCCCAAACCCAGCCCTCCTCGGGCTCCACCCACAAAATCTCCAGGTATTTCCCAACCTGGAGCTGACAACCCTACTTGGTGGGCATGGGAGAGGCGTCAGCAAGTGTCAAAGCACCCCTGAGCACTTCATAGAGGACCCCTAGTCTATACCCTACCTGAGGAAAATGACAGTTCAGCACTCCTCTTTTCCCACCAATTCACCCTCTCTTCCCCCTCTCAGGGTTCCCGGGGCCCTGAATGGGTTCTCCCCCCCCCCCCAAGCTCTGCTGCACCAACAGGGTAAAACGGGAATTAGCTGATAAGGGTGAAAGGGGACAAACCTAGCCCCGTCCACCACAGGTACTGCTGTCATTTCTGTAACGCAACTGTCCAGTCCTTAAGGGTGTAAAGAAAGGCTTGAAAATGTGCGTGGTGTCTGGAATTTCAGAACAGGAGAGAGTGGGCTGGGTAAAGATGTCCTATGATCAGGGAATTCTCAGCATGACTGGCTTTGAATTAACTTGAGGCAAAACAAGAAAAAGTTGAAGCAGCAGGTGTAGAAAATACGAAAAATTGTACAGGCACGTTCAATCTGCATCACGTGAGACGGTTACAGAATTGATGCAGAATTTCATCACCACAGATGTCTGTGTGTCTGTGGGGAAATTATCTCTGCTCATGGGCTTTTGGGCCTGTTAAGGCAACCCCTTCATATTGGGAGACCCTAGACTGAGAGCATAAAAATAGACCTGCTGGATCCCCATCTACTGCCGCATTGCCGCAGCTCCCAGACTACTCAGGAGAGCCACAAACAGGGTGTTGTTGCACCCTGGGGAAAAAACTGGCACTGAAACTGGCCAATCTGAACTAGATGGTACCTTTGACAGTGATGCTCTGTATCCTTGGTGCCTGGGGGGCAACAGTGGGAGGGCTTCTGGAGTTCTGGCCTCCTGATGGCATTTTGTTTTTGGCCAGTGGGTGACACAGTATTTGACTGGATAGGCCATTGGCCTGATCCAATATGGTTTCTCTTACATTCTTTGGTCTGATTCAGCATGGGGAGAAGATATGGTTCATGGGTAGAGCACATGATTTTCATGCAAAAGATCCCAGATTCACAGGGCTGGCAGTCGACAGGTGGTGGCTGGCATTCTCCCACTTTCAGCTCCTTTCCTCCAGAAGACTTACAGAAAACCAGAAGTGATGTCACAGCCACCCCATGATACTCTAGTAATTACCCAGGTCTCTACTGCCTTTACCACAGAGATATGGGAATTCCTAGAGATTTGGTGGGTGTTTGTGATGTCACATCTGTGTTTTCACCAGAAGTGGCACCATTGCAATGCATGCAAGACTTTTTCTCAGGCCTTCTGCCTCCCTTTCCCCCAATAGCTCCCACTGCATGTGGAATCTGGGTTGGGACCCCTACAGATTCAGTGCCTGACACTTCCAGCCAGGGGTCATTTCCTGCAGGAGCGCACAGGAGCGGAGCTCCGGCAGTAAAAAGCCCAGGGGGCGGGCACATGCAACAAGCCCCGCCCCCTGCTCCCAGCAGCCCTCAGTCAGAGGAAGAAGCAGCCAGTTAGTGGCAGAGCTCCCCCCCGGCCCAAAACAGTCCAGTGGCACCTTTAAGTTTTATTCAGGTACAAGCTCTCCCTCCTCTGCGAGGACAGATCTGCACGTTCTCCCCCCCACACCAATAGCTAGCCATCCAAAACAGTCCAGTGGAGCCTGAGCGGTGGGTGTTGCCTTCTGACACACTTCCAGGGATTTCAGGGGGTGTGGCATATGCAAATAAGTTATGCTAATGAGTTATGCTAATGAGCTCCTGCACCTCTTTTTCTACGAAATGACCCCTGCAGTTCCAGCTAAAGGGTTCCGCACAGCACATATTGGGAAGGAGCAGCTGCCAGTCAGAGCAGACAATGGCGAGTTACCTGCAGAGACAGCGTGGCACTATTTAGATCTGTTCATATGTTTCATTCACCCTCTCATCCAAAAACTGATTCTACAGCCTCTCTGAGAGCACGATCACATGCACAATTCGCCGCGCCAGAGGCACAAATGTTGGGCAGATTGAAAGGGCGTGATCAGACACGAACATCTGGGAAGCGCCCTGCAACCCGTCAGCAACCCGTTTTGCTCCGCCGCAAAAGCGGAGTAAAAATACACTGGGGAAAGTCCGGTAGCAAACGGGTTGCTACGGGCCACAGACGGACTTTCCCCTGTCTGATCGTTCCAGCGCGCTCTCATGGCATCGGGGTGGTCTGATCAGGCCATCCTGACTCTGTGCCGTTGTTCTCTCCCCCCCCCCTTCTCAGTATGCGCATCATCGCACACTCCATAGGGAGTACTGAGATGCGATTCATCGATTCCCCATTTAAGCGAATCGGAAACAAATGGCAAAAAAAACCCCTCCCCAACTCACCCACGGTTGCGTCTGATCACGCAGTGGTGGGCTTCCCCCGCAGCTTCAAAGGACTGTGTATTCGTGCAACTGCAGGTCAAATTCCTCTGGAGGGAATAGCCTCACTTCTCCCCCCCCCCGCCACCGTTTATCTCACGTGTGCGACCGCACCCTAAATATTGCAGATGGATCTCAGAATTTCTGATTCTGTTCATTCATCTGTGCCTGCCCAGAGCAAACCTGATGGTTTCATTTGAGGCGAAGTATGACTCACCGGCTCCGGCGGTGACCCGATTTCTTTTTCTTTTTCTTCTTGGGTGGGGGAGAGGTTGAAGTGCTGGACCGCCTCTTCAGCCTGTGGAAGAAGCAGAATGAGTGAGGCAGCAGACTTATGGGGACTCGTAGGGTTCTCAAGGTAAGAGACATTCAGATGTAGTTTGTCCTTGCCTGCCCCTGTGTAGTGACCCTGGACTTCTCTGATGGTCTCCCGTCCAAACACTAACCAGGGCCAACCCTCCTAAGCTTCCAAGATCTGAAGAGACTGGGCTAGCCTGGGCTATCCAGCCTAGATGCCTTCTGTCTATCCCATTTTTACCCAGCTGTTCCTCTGAGGAGCTCAGGACATGTACCTGGTTCTCTCTTCTCCATTTTATTCTTACCACAACCCTGCGAGGTAGGCAAGCCCGAGAAAGAATAACTAGTTCAAGGTCACCCAATGAACTGTGTGGCAGAGTGAAGAGCTGAACATGGGTCTCTGAGGCTCTACTTTGACACTGTAACTACTATGCGACACTGGTATTCTCACCTTCTTCTGCCTATGTTGGATAAACAGACCCAATTCAAGGGTGAAGAAATCTGACATAAACCCCAGCAATATTCCAAAACCAAAAGACCCGTCTCTTTGGATGCTTTGCTGCTGGAGTAAGAGTTACCATAATTATTGTATGTTTACTTACTCTACAAAAAACTTTACTCCCTCTTTCTCCCCACTAGGGACTCAAGGAGACTTACACAATTTTTTTTAAAAAATGCACAGCATACAGTATCTATATATCAGCGCTCAACACTCCATCACAATACATCCCAACAGCATTAAACGATGAGCTGAGCACCACGGGCACTTTGAAGCAGCCAGAGATTTATTCAGCTGACCATCAGAATATCTCAATAGTGTTCCCAACTCTGGATAGGAAATTCCTGGAGCTTCAGGGGCAGAGCTTGGGGAAAGGAAGGGAAGGGAAGGAGCTCAAGATGGACAAAAGGAAGTACTACTTTACACAGAGAGTGATTAAAATGTGGAATTCACTACCAGAGGATGTAGTGATGGCCACAGGAATAAACAGGGGATTACATATATATTCATGGAGGATAGGTCTGGCTACTAGCTGTGATGACAACACCAAACCTCTGAATCCCAGAGGTAGGAGGCAACATCAGGGGATGCTCTTGGCCTCTATGCCTTGCAGAGGAACTGGTTGGCCACTGTGTGAGACAGGATGCTGGACTAGAGGGACCACTGGTCTGATCCAGCAGGGCTTTTCTGATGTTCTTATGATATGATGCCATACAGTCTACCTTCTGAAGCCGTCATTTCCTCCAGGCAACAGATCTCTGCAGTCTGGAGAACAGTTGTAATTCTGGGAGCTCTCCAGGCCCCAGCTGGAAGCTGGCAGTCCTACCACTTCATTGCCCTCAAAAACTTGCTGGAAGAGTTCAGGTGTACAGTTTCATGAATACCAGGAGAAGCAGAAGCTGACATAGACTGACGTATACTTTCCCACAAAGATGGGGGACAAGGCCGGAGTGAGATCAGAGCACGTCAGACCTAACTGCATTTTGTTTTTTGCTGTCAAGTCACAGCTGATTTATGGCAACCCCTCATGGGGTTTTCAAGGCAAGAGACCTTCAGAGGTCGTTTGCCATTGCCTGCCTCTGCATAGCAACCCTGGTATTCCTCGGTGGTCTCCCATCCAAATAACCAAACAGAGCCGACCCTGCTTAGCTTCTGAGTTCTGAGAAGATCAGGCTAGCCTGGGCTATTCAGGTCACAGCACAGTATGTAGGAAAAAATAAAGAAGGCCACCAAAAAGTTCTGCAAAAGGAATGTTGATAAGTGGTGAACCAAAACTATAAGCAAGCATAAAAAGAAACAATATAGGGAACGTCAGATTCCGGAACTGTGTGAATGGTCTGTTCCACACGGCAACAGCCCTCTGACTGGTTTCTCTATTGTCCCTGAGGCTGCTGTTACAGTGCATCGACAGCCGTGCTCCCACAAGGTGAGTTTTCCTTTAGGGTTGCCAACCTCCAGGTGGTGGCTGGAGATCACCTGGGATTATAATTCATCTCCTGACTATAAAGACCAGTTCACCTAGAGATAATAGCCATTTTGGAAGGTACACACTATGGCATTATACCCCATTTAAGTCCCTCCTGTCCCCAAACTCCACCCTCCAGAAGCTCCACCCCCAAAAATCTCCCGGTATTTCCTAACCCGGAGATGCGTAACCCCATGTTACCCAGGTACTTTTATGGTTTTTTTAAAAAGTTCCAGTAATTGATGTAACAATATATCTTCATATCAGTATACTCAGGGGTCATTTCGTAGAAAAAGAGCTAGGGGAACTCATTAGCATAACTCATTAGCATATGCCACACCCCCTGACATCAGGGGCCCGGTGGTGGACCTGCAAGGCCAGCGGGAGTGCGAGGAAGCCCCGCGAAGGCCCTCCCTGGCCCCAGGCAGGCAGGGGTGGGGAGAGGCAGGGAGGAAGCAACTTACCCTCCCTCTTCTCCTGCCTCCTCCTGGCTGAATGAGGGCTGGAAGCGGGGCGGCCAGAAGCAGGGGGCGGGGCTTCATTGTGTGCCCCGCCCCCCTGCACCTCACCCGCGTTCCCCCCCGAAATGACCTCTGAGTATACTGATATATCAATTACTGATTTTAATAAAGAAAACCTCAAAGAAGCCTCTGGTGGTGTGGGGCAGGATGGCTACTGCAGGGCCTGGGGGCAAAGGAAATGGTGTGAACCAGAAGGGTTAAGCTGACCATGTATATTATAAAAGTACAAAATTTATTAGGGTGTACACATATTAAAATATATTCGGGCTAATTTTTTTTTCAAGTATCAGACTAATAAAAGCATATCAAATATTAATACACATGATGGGTCAACACTTTCCAACTGAAGACCAAACGCGTTTCGGCCTCAAAGGGCCTTCCTCAGTGGTCACTATTACAACATAGCATAGACACACATTCAAACATATGTATACAAGATCTTTAGTACACTTATATAAAGACCAGATGTTGTATCCAGAAATTATAAAAATAGAGGTGGGGAGGGAAGGGGAAAAGAAACTCAAATTATTATTTCAAATGTATACCAAATCCTTATTAATTTCAACAAATGATTTTTTCAAACTAGAATTACCTTGTATGTTTGTAATCGTGTTACTGGTATTAATGATACTAAAGATCTTGTAGATTTTAATATGGGTACACCCTAATACATTTTGTACTTTTATAATATACATGGGTCAGCTTAACCCTTCTGGTTCGCAGTGTTATCTTGGGTTGAGTTTTCCCCTCCCCCCCTGCCCTTTTCCCCCAGTTTTTGCAAGGGAAATGGTGCCAAAGTGGTCAGGACCAGGGAAACCCATTCTTTCCCACCCACGTGGCAGCCACCCAAGCTTTGCTGTGATCATTCCCGAAACACTGCAGCCAAGCAGCTTTGGGGAAGGTCCCTGAAAAGATGGGGTAAACCTGGGAAAGCACCAAGATGCTGTGGGAAAGCGGGGATAAAACCTGCTTCCCAACAGCGCCTGTCCCAGGGCAAACAAGATGGGAGATCGTTGACTTTGAGAAAGGTTTAAACCCTGGCGAGGAAGTTGTCCCACCCATGCTGTCATGAAAACCCAGGTGATATCCTGGTCACTCACCTGTACTCTCGGTGACTGCTGTCATCTTGATAGCAGTCAGTCGCACAGTCACACTGCAGGGGGTAGCCCTCCCCGTAGGCGGGGTACTCCATGGCGTATTCCTCTCCATCCACCATGTGATGGTTTTCTATCACTCTGTCCAAGGGAAGGGGGGGGGGAGAGAGAAGCAATATGTGGAGATGTACTAAATGTTTCCTTTTACTTTCGCAGATATAGGCAACTTCCTGTATGCTGGCAATGTATGTTGGGGACACTTATTGGCAAAAGCGAATACATAGATCTAAACCCTTGGCACGTGTACTATTCTAGGCAGCTGTGGATTCTTTTCCACATTCAAATGCACGGCACAGGAAGCAGGGTTCAGCAAACTGGTGTCCTCACCACCCTAGCCAGAGTCCAGATTTGTTGTTCAAGTATTCAGCAGACACATGGGCAATTGAGACAGGCCTATAGCTGGGATTTTTTAAAGGGGGCAGTTAAATTACACTTAATTAAATTAATCTTAATGCCTGTCTTTAAAGGGTGAGGCTCCAAGCCTGTTTCTAGCCCTTCCTTTCAAGGGACAGGGCAGCGACCATGTCAGTTCCTAGGGGAAAAAACCACTCAGAGGGCTATTACTTGCCTTCAGAAGGCATTTAAATACCTTTTGCATTCCCTTCTGCAAGGCAAGAAAGCTTAAAAAGGCACCTTCAATACATCTCCAACACACACCCTTTCTGCTAGCCCAGTACCACCTAGGTCAGTGGTGGCGAACCTATGGCACAGGTGCCAGAGGTGGCACTCAGAGCTCTCTCTGTGGGCATGCATGCCATCGCCGCAGCCAGGCCCAGACCATCATTAAAGTGTCGAATTCTCTGCCAAATAATTTTAAGGAAATGAAAGCATTTGGGATTGCTTTCCTTACTTTGTTTGGATCATCTTAAGTTAACATATGAGTTGTTTTTTCTAAAGTAAAACCTCAGTATTCAGGTTAAATTGCCGTGTTGGCACTTTGCGATAAATAAGTGGGTTTTGGGTCGCAGTTTGGGCACTCAGTCTCTAAAAGGTTTGCCATCACTGACCTAGGTCATGGTCAAAAATAAGGTTTCTGGCATAGCTATATGTGGGGCGGGGCTCTTAATTAGGGGCAGTGCCCTGAAATGCCCCACTGTAGCTATGGGCCTGAATCAAGACCAAATGTTGTATAGCGGTTAGAGTGCTGGATTAAACCCAAGAAGATCTGAGTTCAAGTCTCCACTTCAGCACAAAGCTCACTGCATAATCTTAGGCCAATGATACACTTTCTCCCCGCATTCAATATAGCCTACCTCACAGGATTGTTGTGAGGATGAAACTGGGGAGAAGAAGAAAATCAATGAACATTGTCTTGAACCCCTCAGATTAAAATGATGAGATTAAACATATTACATATGTATACAATCTGGATTCTCTGATTTATTTCTGGCTTGGATTATGAGATGGTTCACCTGCAGTGTTCCCTCTAAGCTGAGTTAGTGTGAGCTAGCTCAGTCTTCTAGTCTCTGGCTCACACATTTTTTTGTCTTAGCTCAAAAAGGATGGCTCCAGGGCAAACTAATTTATGCAGCAGCCAAATCACTTGCTCACAACTTTAATGCCAGTAACTCACAAAGTAGAATTTTTGCTCACAAGACTCCACATCTTAGAGGGAGCATTCTTCACCTGTGTTATGAAGTCTGCTATAGAGGCTTACAGGCTCTGAATTAGCCTGGAGCCAGAGAACCAATCAAACATCAGCACAGATGTGCCTAGAGAGGATCACTGTGGTTGCAGTGGGAATCCTCTGGTTTTGTGACTTTGTGCTTGTGTGTGGGGGGGGGGAGTTTGTAATTATACAGACAGGCTGGTAAATGCCTTTAAACACCAACCTCCCCTCTTTGTTTGGCTTGCCCTCCAAAGATGCAGAAAAGGGGGGGAAATCTCGGCAAGGAAAAGCAGAGTCGCTTAGCAGAGATGCAGCCCGGCAGGCATTAATCTCCGTCCTCTCGGGGAGTTTAACCCAATTACAAGCCGAATGAGTAATTGGCTGCTTTAAGGGAAATTTAACCCCAGGATGTTTTGGCTCAGAAAATACAACAGAACCGTTTGTGGGCAGGCAAAGCAGGGAAAGGGAGCGCGGCGAGGGCAGAGGAGGGTCTATTCAGGGCTTTCGTTTTGTGCATAGCTACTGTTGCTGGAGCACAGAACACAGATGTACAATAATGCGATCAGTGCATGTACCTTTAAATGGTTGAGTCGCCATGCATAATATATCGGGAAAGAGATCCCATCCTTTTTTTAATTGTGGGAGGACAGGAAGCCGCTATGTACCCTTCAGCTGAGCGTCTCCTGAAGGAACACTTATATTGAATTTGAAGTAATATGTATTTTTTTAAAAATTCTCATGAATTTATTTAGAAGGCCACACTTGGCAGAAAGGGGGCGGAAAATATCGAACAACCGTATCGTGGAGAAGCCCGGCCATGCAGATGCGCATGTGATGCCTGCAGTGTATGTGCTGCCATTATGCAGATTTGTGCTAGGCTATCTGGACCCAAACATCGAAGGGAAAACATGGGTTGGCCCTTGGTTAAAGCAGAGTGGGGTTAAAAGTGTTGGGATATACAAGGTCTATAGTGTGCCTACTTGAAGAAGATCAGAAGAACAGCTTATAATGGGACAGCTGAGGGACTGCTAGTTAGCACAGCTAGATTAGGGACTTCCCACAATTTCAGTGTTTGTCCTTCCTGTCTCCTGATTGGCTTTTTGTAGACTTCCTGTCTCCTGATTGGCTTTTTGTAGACTTCCTGCTCCAGCTGAGCCTTTCCCCTTCATTCCTGTCTCTCACAGCAGTTAGTCAGTTAGTTAAGTCTCTCTCCTTCTCCTCTGTTCTATCAGAGTTAGGGTTGCCAGGTTCCCTCATCACTCTGTCGGGGTGATTTGGGGGGGGGCTCACCCAGAAGTGACATCATCATGCCAGGGATGTCATGTAGGGATGCTCTGGTTTGAGGGCTAAACTCTATGGGAAATCTGGCTTAAAACCATAGAGTTTTGCTTTCAATGTAGAGAGTTCCCGTGCAGCATCCCCAGCATGATGATGTCACTTCCAGGGGACGTCATCGTGTTATGGAAGTCACGCGGGGACGTGGCTGTTTGGGGGTGGGGTTTCAGAAGCCCCGAAAACTGGGGGACCCCCCGCCCCAACCTGGGGACTGGCGAGCCTAATCAGAATTTATTTCTTCTTTAATAAACCGAGTTATTTTCTTGATGCAGAGGAATGGCACTCCCTTCCTCTGTATGTTTAAACTCTACCAACAAAAAGTGTGTCACCCCAAAGAGAAGACTTGGTTACATCAGGAAAGATATAAATGTTCTGGAACATCTCCAGGCTAAGGCTGCATAAGCATCCTATGTTGGCCGTTTGTTCCCGGCAAAGCGCTGCCCCGTTTTTGTCCTTGGTGAAGAACAGGGAAGATGCCCTGCCTCAAATGATCATCCTCTGATTTTTGGTTGTCTCCACGAGACAGCCTGGTACAGCAGTTAGGGTCAGACTAGGATCTGGGCAGGCCCGTAGCTATGGTGGGGCATTTTGGGGCTCTGCCCCCTCAAATGTGAGGCTTGCCCCACAACAGTGGCTGCCCCTCCCTCCTTGTGACATTAAAAGGGCCCTCCGGCTGATTGGCCCACTGATCAGCTGGAGGGCCCTTTAAATCTTGCAGGAAGGGAGGGACAGGGACAGTCACATGCCTTCCCTGAAGCGAATTCGCCCCTTGGAGTTCCGGGAAGGTATGTGGATGACCTTCCCCCTCCCCTGCTACCACGCAACATTTCCCCATGCCCCACCAACCCAAAATTTCTGGCTATGGGGCTGGATCTGGGAAACTTGAGCGCATATCTCCGTTTGGCCATGAAGCTTACTGGATGACCTCGAGCCAGTAACATCCTCTTAATCTAACCTTGCTCTACAGGGTTGTTGTGAGAAGAGAATGCGAATGGGAGAACGATGTGCCCTGCCCTGAGCTTATTGGAGGATCACAGGATGCAAAAATGTAGTGAACACGACAAATGGAAGCCCAAAACTATTGGTGATGCTGGAATTCTGTGACTGGAATTCTAGATGAAGAACAGGGCCCTAAAAAGCAACTGAGTGTGTGTGTGGGGGGAGGCAATTTGCACCAGGGCTTCAGTGCTGGGGAAAGAGGGATTTAAGTCTTCCCCCTCGCCAATGCGTTGTTTGATCAGAAATGTCTCCTGCAGGCTGTTTAATGCTGCACATGGGGGGAAAAGACCTGTATTCTGCATGTCTTCCCCCCCCCCATGAGGTTTAATCAATGGGGGTGGGGAAATCAATAAAAATAACAGCACAGGGACCAGGGCTACCAGCTCCAGCTTGGAAAATTCCTAGAGATATGGGGGCGGAGCCTGGTAGGGTAGCCAGGTCCCCCTTAGCCACCGACAGGCTGTGATGCCAGACAGTCCTCTCCCCAAAACTCTCGTTTTCTCCATTGCCAACTCTGTTGCCAACTCCAAATTGGGAAATTTCTAGAGATTTAGGGGGCAGAGGCTGGGGAAGGTGGGGTTTGGGGAGGGAAGGGGCCTCAGCAGCAGGGTATAATGCCATAGCATCTACCTTCCAAAGCAGCCATTTTCTGCAGGATAACTGACCGGACACCTCCTGCCCAATACTTGCTTATCAGGGTCAAATGACACCTTGGTGAATGGGAGTGCTAATCACAAATCTCCAACATCTGGTGTACTTTAGCCCAAAATTTGTAAGAAGGATAAACTATATCTTGATTGTATCACGCGTAATGCTGGAGTGAAATCAGTAAAAGAGGGGTTGGGAAGATTTCAGATATCGGCCGTGTCTCCAGAAGTTTCTCCTTACACCAGTTTGGTGTAGTGGTTAAGCGCACGGACTCTAATCTGGGAGAACCGGGTTTGATTCCCCACTCCTCCACTTGCACCTGGCTGGATGACCTTGGGCAAGCCATAGTTCTGATAAGAGCTGTTCTTGAAAAAGAGCAGTTTCTGTTAGAGCTCTTTCAGCCCCACCTACCTCCCAGGCAATGTTCCCTCTAAGCTGTCGAGTCTTGTGAGCAGAAATTCTACTTTGTGAGCTACTGGCATTAAAATTGTGAGCGAGCAACTTGGCTACTGCACAAATTAGTTTGCTCTGGAGCCATCCTTCCTGAGCTAAGACAAAAATGTGTGAGCCGGAGGCTAAAAAAATGTGAGCTAGCTCACTCTAACTCAGCTTAGAGGGAACACTGCTCCCAGGGTGTCTGTAGTGGGGAGGGGAAGGGAAAGGAGTTTGTAAGCCGCTCTGAGACTCCCTTGGGTAGTGAAGGGCGGGGTATAAATCCAATCTCCTCCTCCTCTTCTTCTTCTTCAGAAAAAAATAAGCAAGGAGCCACGCTAGTCTATCTTTGGCCGGCTGTAGGGCTGCCAGGGTTTCTGCTACTGTGGGAGAACTCGCTGCAGCCCATTCTTTTCCCACTGGCATCTGAAGCTTGGGTATGAGGAAATGGGGGGGGGGGGAGATTGTTGTGTGCATGGCCTTGCACCACTGATGTCCTTTCTGGTAAAAACCAAAAGTGATGTCATGGATGCTGTACAATTTGCAAAAGCTCTATAATTTTACCATAGAGATTTGTAAATAAATAAATAAATAAATAAATTTGGTCTCCATACAAGGTCCTTTGGATTTGACCCCAAAGACTCAAGGAGCAAATAGGTGCCATGAAAAATCTTGGCGGGCTCCATGTCGCCCTAGGGGCCACACTGGGGATTGTTGTTCTGCCCAGACTGTCAACTTCTCCCCTCCAGATCACTTTTTATGGACAGAAATATACCAGGAGGTGGGGTTTTTTTTAACCTGTCCCTGGCGTAAATCTAGTTCTGCATGCAGGTGATCATGAAAAAAACAGTCTCTCGTTTCACGCGCCTGCAACCCGCGAGGTTCATTCTGAATTGCTAAGTGCAATAACATATTAGGGGACAGTTTTATTCCTGAAATATATCTGGGACCCAAGGAAAACCCTCTTTGCTTTTCATTCTATGCAAGATGGGGTTGTTATTGCAAAGGGAATGATCCCAACAAGCAAACCGGAGGCTTCAGAAAATGTGTACAAGAGAGGTGCTTTGGCACTCATTCATGGGGTGAAAAATAATAGGACCCTTGCAGGAACACATGAGTAGCCCTATCTGCATATATAAAATCGGGGGGGGGGGGAACTGCAGGGAGTTATGGACAGCAAAGAAGTGACATTAAGAAGGATGAGGCTTTAAATTTTTAAAAATACATTTTGGTTTGCTGGCAGTGTTGCTGGTTTAAGTGAGTTGCCCAAGGCCACATGGTGAATCCAGTGTCATGGTGTGGTCTAAGCTTGCATCCAACACTCTAGGCTTCTGGAACAAACAACTGTGCAGCTGAACTATCCTTTCACCCCTTCAGAAGTGCTTGTCTGTCTACACTGCCTGCCTTTCTCAGCTCTAACCCCCCAGTGCTGCCCTTGCGCCAATTCTTGAACCCAATTGAGGTGTTAATATTGTGTTCTGCAGGGCCTACTCCCGTCCAGGGTGTCCAGTTTCATCCCCTGCCCACCTTGCTAATGGGTTATAAAATGCATGGGTTTCTTGGCTGGAAGACTGGTGACTAAATCACTGTTGGTCTTCGAGACCCAAGATGCATCAATGCCAGAGAGGGCCTGCTGAGTTGGGAAAGCAAAGCCATGACCTCCAAGGGCTATCACACCCATTAGGAATAAATCATTGACACCAAGGTCCAGGAGAGTCTCTAGACAGGGTGGCCACTTTCAGATGTTAGGGCAAGGCATACTGGAAGACTGGCAAGCACACCAAGAAGTTCCTGAGATATATGGCTGCTGTACAGCTTGAAAGGGGCCAGAAGTAGATTTTCAGCTTTGGTAAATGGAAACCAGAACCCTGAAAAATCTGGGCTTGGTGTAGCCCAAATCCACATGTTGGCCATTTTAGATAGCATAGCAACCACCAACCACATGTCTCGGGAGGAAAGACCAGATGTACATGCTTCAATGGGTGAGATCAGCAGACTTTTGGGACACATGATTGTAAGGTCTTAAAGGGCCGGTACGGG